ACCCGAGGAATTTTTCATTTAAATTCATTGTAAATGTACTGGCAAAAATTGTAATTATTTTTCGCCTCAACTATACTCTTTTCATAGTTTTGCCCACTAAATAACAGTAGCACATGCGTAAAGTTGTTATCATATACACACTAACACTATAACAACACTTAGCATTAGAAAAATGGTTCTCCTGTACTATAATTCTTTCACTATGATGTGACTTATAATTACCAATACTAAATATGTCCCTCTTTGTTGTGTTATTTTCCTTTCAAAACTAGAAATTCGTTAAAATATCTTAAGGAAAAAAAAATTTTTTTAATATTTCTCTTATGTGGGTCCCAGAAATCGACCGTCACAGTTGCGATAATTTGCCACGTATATGGTAAAAAATGCGTTGAAAACGGTCCACTGAAACTTATGTTACTTTAACATAAGGAATGTGTTAAAAAGTGCACAGATATGTATTGAAAAGCATACAAGTATAACGTTAAATTAACACAAGTTAACCTTGCCACCATACGTTGACAAAGCGAGTGTCTTTCTTACTGCGTAAATACAATTTTTTACCGTGTATAGAGTGAGTCATGCATAGATACAATGTTTGACCATCCCGATTGCGACATTTGCGACTTTTCTCAAAGAGACATATCAACCTGTTTTAGTTAAAAATGACCGCAAAAGATAGCCGAAACGATTGATACTTCATTGATTTGCATCTGCGTGTACTTCATATCGCAAGATACAAGCGAATTACATCCGCAATCCACTCTTATTGTCCTTATTATACTTATTTATTCAATTTAATCTAATCAAATTTCTCGCAATTGTTTGCTTTAATCAAAAAGCTTCACTATCATTAAATTGACGTTAATCCGTTAAATGTTCATTTTATAACACCAGGAAGACACATCCCACCTCATCGATCAATAACGATTTGAACGATAAATTTGAGCTTCTTTGATCCTCCGCTCGATGTTTCCTTGATAAGGAGATAACGAGAAAAGCTCTATGGAGATAACACTTTCGCGACGTTATTCCACGATAATTCGACGGGAAGAAAGTTTGTTGTTGCAAGCGGAACGTATGATGCGGCAGATCAATCGGCCGCGCATTTTTGTCCGATAATACACGTCGACATAGACACCGGCTCGGCCGGGTCTCATGAGAGCGACTTTGTAATAAAATTTCCACGTATCTCGCGTTACGTAGCTCGCAGTGCGCATTAATGATCCCGCGCAATAAGGTCAGTCGGGATTAAGTGTATAATTTACCGGTTTCCGCGACAGGTTAATCGCTCCGTCTCGAGAAAGCATCTGGGGCAAACGGACGGGGCTCGGAGAAAAGCGAGAAAAACGTACTAGCTCGGCGAAATACATAATGAGAGGAAAGAAAGCGCGGGAGTCCACTTTGGGTGGCGCTATCCTTGACCTCCTATATTTAAAACGCCAACGACTCGTGCAGCAGCAGCGCGTCAAAACTCTCTCTCTCTCTCTCTCTTTCTCTGTTTGGGAAAAGACAAAAATATTATTCTCCACGGCGCGAACAAAGAGGCGAACTTTTCGGCATGTATTTTAACGAAGGAAAAAAAAATATATATGTGTGTGTGTGTGTGTGGCGATAAAAGACCAACTGACGTGTTTGCTTATCAAACCGTTCGGTTTGCGCTTATCGCGGTGTTTTCCGACAGTTAGTGGAGTCGTGAAGCGAGATACCAATTGGCGTTCCATTTTTTCCTCAGGAGGATTATTCATTTGTCTGAGGGAATTCGTTACAAGTGCATGTGCGCTCGCGCGCGTCATACTCGCGTAGTTTATCACGCTCCGCTGTTGCTATCGCGGTCGTGAAATCGAAAATGCCTTTTCCGCGAATTCGGCGAATCATTAGCTCCCTCTCTCTCTCTCTCTATGTGTGTGTGTGTGTATGCGTATTCATCGTACGCTTATCATAGACAACTCGTAATCGATTTCCGATAGTCGGTCTTGAGTTATTTACCACGTCCATATTAATTTCTACGATCGCGCGCTCTCGTTGCGCAGTGGTCTGAGATAGATATTTCTTAGTCGATAGTTCTTAAATTGACATATAAGTGTAGTTTGATAATATCCAATAATGAAATAATCAGTTAAAAATGTTTACCTTCAAATTCTGTGCCGTGCAGAGCATTATAAATACTACCCGACATCGCGTTTTAATCCCAACTCTTGACAACGCGAAGTAAATAGAAGGAATTTCCTCTACTTCTATCCGCTTGAATTATCTGCACTCAGTGTGATCTTTGATCTTACGAACACTCGGATTTTTCCTACCGCTTCTTTTCCCCCTTATCAATATTTTGTATGTCGAGGGGGATATTTTTAACAAGAGAGGAAGAGAGAGAGGAAGTGAGGAGATGAGAAAATACTCGAGTGGCCCTTATGCCACGATCAGTCGTTGCGCAAGAAGAAAATGAGAAAGAGCGCGCGCCGCGCGCTCACAGTTCCGCGCGCGGCTAATTTATTTGAAATTCAATGCGGTCGCGCAGTCGGCGAGCACATGACTCCATTCGTCTCGACTCGACATTTAAATATCAGCGCGAGGATTATTCCGGATTCGCGCGTAATGCCGATCGAAGTGCGCGATTCCTCTTCCAATGGACAGCTGAATCATGCATTCCGACGCATAGCGCCCGTCGTCGTCAACGAACGTTCCGAACGTTGGGAGACGCTAAGTTATCGATTAATTAATGCTGAATTGTCGCGACGGAAAGTAACAACGTGTTATCGCGACATCATGATAAGCGCAATATTGCAGACAAGATTATAAATAATTTGGACACGCGGGCGCGCGCGCGCATACTCGGCTGCGCGACTTCTTCAAAGCTCCGCACATACTTCAAATCAATTATATTTAGATTCTGTCGTACACGCGCGCGCGGAGTGATTCGCTGGAAAGGTAGGTTTTTTTTCTTTCACACCTCCCTCACATGAGAAAGTGTAGAAATTCGACGCGTCGATGCTCGTCTCATAAATAAACGCATGCGTATGTCACAATTATATTAATTAACTTATTTATATAATATATGATGTATTATTATATTATTATGTAATATATTATTTGCTATATATAGTATTATATATTATTATTATTACTGTATGCAGATATGTGTACGAAAAAAAAATTTACTTCACATAAAATCGCTGCAAATATCCTTTACTTTCGGGTAACAACAGCATGTTATAATTATTTCCCCATTTTCAGAGAAAACCGACTCGTTATTCTCGTCGCTGCCCGTTGCTAGTTCCGCCTCGCGCGTATTGCTTTACACTTTGCGGAGCACAACAATTCGTATTTTAATTTCGCCCGGATTAATATATCCCGTTGGAGCGAAATAAATCATTCACGCGCGAGCCCTTTTGTGTACGTGTCGTATAACGGACGTCGCGTCTTTTCATGCCACGAGTGGTCTTCATCAACAACAACTCGCTTTGTAACGGATCGCGCGCGCGCGCGAGAGAGAGAGGGAGAGCTCCGGCTGACGACCGTAACTTGGACCACATTCCATTAACCGCGTAATCATTAATCTCACCAACGTGAACCGCCGATTACCATAATTCCTGTCTCTTAATAGCGCAATGTGTAATCGTGCGCATGAGTAATGCGGTGCAACGGCAATATCGATATCGCCGCGGTTAAATACAATGTTTTGCCGACCTCTACCACTCTCTTTCTCTCTCTCCCTCTCTCTCTCTCTCTCTCTCTCTCTCTCTTTCTGTACCTTGCAATGTTTTCGTTCCAAGTAAATTTATACCTTTACGATTGCGCTTATTCGCGCGTAATGTGTGTGCGTTGTGTGTGTATGTGTGTCGTTTTAAGTCCGGAAATCTGCACTCGCGACCCGTACTTTATCATCTTCAAATAATTCTGATTTACCGTTGTTTTCAGCGTTTCCTCTTTGATGCGAGTAACGGTGATTTACACGAACGATAATTCCGTGCATATTTAAACAAGGAAAGAATAAAACAGAAGCGACAACTCGAACAGTAATAACCAAGCTTTCGGCCGAGATACACGCTTAAATCAATACATTCCGTTATCTACGGGAAAAATTCCAGATCGCAGATAATGGATTTCGCAAAATACATACACACACACACATAGAATCCAGAGAAGTGTTCCCCAGATTTCAGCTGGGAGATCTCAAGAAATCATCGAATCACGCGAGAGGAATACGTAAATTATAAGTTGGCGTTACCGCTCTCGATTCTGTCTCGTTTTGTCGCATAGAACCGGACACGATGAATTGCTTCTAACGCCCGTGATAAAAATCACCCAGGCAAGTAGCCAACGGAAATTATCCGTTAGTATCCGCGAGTTACAGGTGTCTCTTTAAAATACAGGGCGTCTCATAATTCATTAACAGACCACCCGACCAGTTCGATCAAACGGCCTGTCGGAACCTCATTATTTAACGCCATTGTTCTCACGCGAGACAATGTTATCGAACATCTGTGGGCCTGTTCTGTGAACTTTTAACGGCGATATCGTCATAGTTATTTTGTCGTTGAGCGGGCATAGTACACGGTAGAAAAGTTAACGTAACGACAACGTAACGTAACGACAACGATAATGTCGTTAGCGATTACAAAACACGGGCACCGGCCAAAAATATACAGCTCAAGAGAGCTTCGTTTTAACCTTCTACAACGTTAACTGTACATGCGTTTTTTCATATGACGACAAGATCGCGAATATTCGAAGGAAGGCACTTTCGAGCCTTCGAATGGCACACCTTCTTTCTTCAGTCAACGCTTCTTAATCCGTTAATCGTGATTTACTTGCGCTTTAAACTGCTCGATGAGTCAATCGGACAGATCTCCGCGCGATTTCTTCTCGCGCTGCTTACGGACGACGCGCGTCCCGGGGACGCGTAGGTATGAGAGAGGAGCGTGACGAAACGTCAGTACTGAAGAATCGAGTGTCCATTTAAGATCTGATCGATCTTCTCGACCTTCTCGGTCTCTACCAACCTGAGACACCTGCCGACGGTGATCCACGAGTTCTGCTCGGCCAAGGCGGCACGCAGGAGCCTGGGCCCGCAGATCCTGACGAGGATGTTGGTGCTCATCGTGACGGGGTTTCGTGCGTCGCGAGAAGAACGATCCCACGGGTCGGTCAGTCGTTCGCGCGTCTCTCGGGACGTAGAGGAGCCGCGGAAAGCAGGAAAGGCGTAACGACGCCGAGCGGCGAGAAAGAGAGCTCGAGGGAGCAACGCACCCTGAAGACTGGACGACGTGGAGAGAGAGTGGTACCATTTATATGGGCGCCCCTCCCCAATCGGCGCCTCAGGAGGCCTGACAGAGAGAGACCAGCGCTCACGTCTCGTCTCGTCTCTCTTTTCTCCACTGCTCTCCACCCCTCCCTTTTCCTCGCTCACGACGCTCTGTTCGCGACGATACCGCGGTAAACAAACCACTCGGCGACCCCACCTGCTGGCAGTCCACCTGACCGGCGACGTGCCGATTGCGCCACGTGCCGAATACGTATACGCGACGGCCGAGATTTAACACGAGGCCGGTCGATTTAAATGTAGAAAACGGAGCGTGAGCGGGCCAACAGACTCCCGCGGGGGCTCGTCTGTTCTCTCTCTCTCTCTCTCTCTCTCTTTCTCTCTCTCTTTATTTTCTACGAGCGTTCTTGATTTCATTTCTGTCATTCTGTCTCTCCGGAAAAGGGAGAGAGAGGCTGTGTGGTCCGTGGAGAGAAAAATAGAGAGAGAGAGAGAGAGAGAGATCTCAGTCTTGCTTCTTTTTCCTTCATCTCGACGCATTGTTTTTAATTCGCCGCGTAGTCGCGCCGACGCCGGTTGCTTTCTTGACACGTTCAACCACCCCCGTATCCCTCATCGGGCGAGAGTGGTGTTTCGGGATTAACGCGGGGTTAACTGATCCCGGGAAAGAGAGACGGCGCTGAGCACGACGACGACGAGGAGGGCTCGTCCGTTCTGCGTTAGCGTTGATTTGATTTCTTCTCATTTCGGGGACCGACTGGGAGTGCAGAAGCACGAGCGAATCCTGCTTAATTACCGCGAATCGGTGCTCGAGAGACCACTGTGTTATTATGAATTTTTATCGTCACCGTCATCGCAGATATTAGTATTTCGGAAGCGCGGTTCTCTTTCTCTCTCTCTCTCTCTCTGATATATCTCGTCGTTCAGGGATATCCGCATTTTCGACGTATATTGTTGAGTCGGTATAAATAATTATTTTTGAACCGTTTTCCCGGTCGAGATTGCGAGGTAGAGATAGAAGCTAATAAAAACATCGGGTCGAGCGATAGATGAAAACAAGCCATGCGTGTTCTCCACTGGGATGCACGAGTCGAAAAATATGACGAAGTGTCGCACATCAGCGCGATGTTCATTCCAACCGAATATTAGTAAGTATCTGTTTCCGATGGAACGGCGAATAAAAATTGGAAAATGCGCAGCCAGTGAAAACAATCCGATCCAAAGTCGAATCGAGGTTGAAGTTTAAAATAAATAAGTAAATAATTAAATAAAGCGCGATGTAAGAGAAAAAAAAAGGAAAGAGAGATAGAGAGAGAGAGAGAGAGACGAGTTAAAAATTGTCGAGACATTTTGCGGCTGGAACGCCAATTGGTAGAACCGCAGGCGGAGATGAAAGACGAGAAATAAAATGTGTCATGTGTGGTTAATGCTCGTTTATTGACGTATAAAAAATGTTAACATGAGTAGCGGGAGAGGTGGGGGAGGATAGGAAGGGGGAGGAGTGTTCAAAAGAGCGATTGGCCAAGCGGTTAATCGCTGTGAGAACCGCGTCAGGAGCGGAAATGTGGTCAATGACTTCCGAAAAGCCAACCAATGCACTCGGATATTTTACACGGGGATATTTAACGTGTAAATACGAGGCTGTCGGGTTTGAAATTTCCCATTTTCTTTCTCACGTGAGGATCGTATTCGGAGTGAACACAGGCGGGGAAACGTGCGGATTATAAAAGCTAGAACAACACGTGAAAAATTGTGGGCGAAAAGGCTCCGCTCTTTCCGAGTATCTCACGTAGGAAACTATATACGATCGATTGATTATAAGATCGTAAATCCTAAAGATATCGTAAATCCTACAACACGACTGCGGCGCGATTAATTGATACAAAGATTGATTTACTTGCAATGAGTATCTCGCCAATCGAGCGTATCTACAAATTAATTTACGATCGACCGATATTTGAACAAGCTCGACCGACCAAGTATGCATTTTACGTTCACGTGATCGTGACTCGTTTAATCAGCTCACTGACGATTCTATTACGCACGATTAACACATATTCGAAAATAGTATCGAGATATCTGCACGCCGTGCCGAGCAGACGACGTGTGTGGATCGATATTATGTCGCGCGTGCGACCACAAGCACGAGAGAGCCGGTGGATAAATTTCCAAAATTCGGCTTACGCGACCGGTACGGAAAGGTCGATTTAATAGGACCCCCGTACGTGACCAGGTCAAAGTGAATTTTCAACGGGAACATCCGTACTGCGTCGTTAGCGCGCGAGCAGCTTAATAGAAATGCAGCAGGCAATTATTAATTTCAAGGTTTGCAATGCGCAAGGTGCGTTCTCACGTCGAGGCTCGTTGCTTGTTTGAACACTGTGTTTTGCAGAGATATAATTTTTGCAAATTCCACGCACATGTCATTCCGGCGCGCAGAAAAAAACACATACTGCATTTAAGTAAATGTTACTTGGTTCAAATATTTCATAAGTTCATATATCTGCAAATATAATAATTACTTATGCTATAAATATAATAATTACAAATATAATAATTACTTCAGCTCCGAATTTTTAGTCGAACTTTTGGTGTCACTTTTAAATGCAATGTAGACCAATTTGTAATTTTTTCGTGATTTTTTCGTTATTTCGAGTCATGAGCGATACATCTTTAAAACACTAAGTTTGATTTACTTATTCAAATTAACCGAATTTAATTTTTCCCCGTTATGATGTGATATGAAAAGAGAATATATTCTTTTGAACGCATAATTATATTTTAAGACTATTATCAAGAAAAGCGAGTATATTTTAAGACTGTTATCAAGAAAAGCGAGTATATTTTAAGACTGTTATCAAGAAAAAATATTCTTTGTTAAAGATAACTAATTACTTAAAAAAAGGAAAATCAACTGACTAATCGCTTTTCTTAGCAGTACAATGATATTCTTCTCTGTGTAAGCACGATATAATTATGTGTGTGTATATAAAATTGTGTAATCATGCGTCTTAGTATTAATGCAACAGCTTTCAACGTCAATCTCGATTCGCAATGATAAACGTGGAATTTCGTTTCTCTCAGTGTAATATCACGTCCGCTCGTGCGAGTCGTGAAATGTTCGGCAGCGCTCGATAGTCTTGTCGATGGTAATTAGTTCTCTATAAGAAACGTGGTCAAAGAAGGAACAATATATACTGCGGCACCGCTCAAAGTCCAGCGTTAGTCATTTTCGGTGTGCAAGAGCGAGAGGAGAGGTAATGCTTCTCTCTTCCGACCACAATCTCCGAAGAGGAGATCCATTACTTATGCATGCGCATATGCACGAACGGTGCACTAGTCGGCACTAAGAAAATTCTGCAGGAACCGGACCTGACACCTTGAAATGAGTGTAAGAAAAATCCACGCGAGGAAGTTCCTCGTGTGACGACGATGATGCGCATAGGTGTAGCCACGATTTCAGTTAGGGGAAGGAGGAGGTTGAAAATTTATCTTCGCGCAAAATTAATTAGCGCATTTATATTAAAGCCGGTCCTTTTCGGTAAACTTATCTATTCTTCCAGCTTCTAGCCAGCATCATTTTTCCGTGTACACTTAGCACACGTAGCTTACTAAGACGATTTTCTGACATTGCTGACCGCAAGTAGTTCTTCACTCTTTGCAATATATTAAGAGGTCTTCCAGCGATGCTCGATCGTATATGATTGGAGCAAAGAACGTCTGGTGGTGAAATTTGAGAAAATTTCGTTACATTCATTTTCACAAAGTATTGCTAATATTTCGTCATTAGTTTTTAGTTATAGAACATATACTATAACTTTTGGCGGAAGATTGTGAAGTATATCAATTACATTTCTTTATTTTTATGATTTTCATAATTTAATTATTTTTCCTTGCCAAAATTTAGGTGGAGAAGGGGGAAGGGGGGTATTAGCTATATCTATGATGACGCGTGAAAGTGGGAAAAAATAACTGACAAGAACGCGATCGTTTTACGAAATCCTGGAGATGACGAAATGTCGTCACGCTCCTCAATTACCACTCGGCATTTTTCCTCTCAAAATCTTCCATTAGCCCATTGATAATATCACCAATATGCAACCGGTCCCCACTATCTCTGTCTCTCTCTCTCTCTCGCGTATTTTTTACTTGCCATCTTGTGGGAAAAATGTCGGGCTTTCTCTATCTGTACACTTATCGTTGCTTACGACGTTTCTGGCCTTGAGCACGATAAGTAGTCACCTCTCTCTTCCTCTGTCCTTCTCTCTCTTTCTAGTTGTCTCGCATTCTCGAGGAATGGAACTTACCACACGATATTTACGTTCGTCACAGGCAATCGGAACAAGGACGGGTTATTCTTATTATATGCAAAAGGTTCCTGAGAGCCACTTGTTCTTTCTATCACAGAGCAAAGTGCACCTTTCGCTATTCGTTTAAAAATGAAGCAGAAATCGAGCCCGATTCGCTCCTCCTCACGAAGTAGTCCGAGAGATCATGTGTGTGAAACGAACGACGTTATCTATCGTGCTTTGTAAAAGTAAACCTGGTATCACAAGCAGCTATCTGCTCGATAATGTAGTTCGATCACGATGTAGCTTCTAATGAGAAAAAGTTGATTGTATCGTAATTAGCGACTTCTCTCGCTGAGCACGCTTCTTTGTTCGATGAGAATTGTTTTTTTTTTCTTTAAAACTGAGCTGTCGCGAAATTGTCTCTGATTTATTAACACACTTCACCGTATTGATTTCTTCCTTTATTCGAAAATTAAAGTTACATTTTGTAACTGATAGCATTACGAGATCACTACGGGTTATCGGGCTGTCTGAGCGGGTGACTGGCGAACGTCATCACGGAGGAGATGCAACATCGCTATCCGTCAATTGTTAAAGCGTTCATTACGTCAATGCGATTATGTTAATCACTGTGAATTCCTGTTGTTGACGTACTCGTGCTCATTCGTCATTCACGGAAGAAATCACACGTTTTCGCACACGGAAAGTGCCGTTTATTGT